GCCTGGCTGGGCGGCCGTTGGGGGCGGGGCGGGAGCGCTGGGGGTCGAGTTTGCTGTTGGTGCAACTGTCTGCTCCGCAGGGAAACGCTCCTCCGGCGTTTCCCTTGTTTTTGGTACAAGTAACTGCTAAATATAACTCCTGGAGGTGCTCACATACTGTTTTTCCACTTGCTTTAATCTTGTGTTTCAGTAGTCTCCTCAGCCGTCGGTCTGAACTTCTGCCTTGCTGGTAGGGAAGATGTTACAGTGCGGTTAGGGAGCAACGAGCAGGGGATTTCCACGCGGGGTTAGGAACTGGCTCTGCTGAGCTTTTCTGCTGAGTTACCCAAAGAAAAAGCCTTGTGTTGTTCCCCTGTCTCTCTGCCAGCGCCCCTGCTTATGAACTTCGTGACTAATTACAGCCAAATCTGAAAGGGAAAAAGGTCTCAAGGCTCTTACTCCTCTTGTGTTACGAGGAATGCGAAATCCAGCTAGAAGAGCGCAAGAGATTCAAAATAGTTGCTTCATAGATGGACAGAGTAGGAGCTCAGCCATCATGTGTTCCACCTAGCAGTAGCTGGAATAGGACCTAGCAACACTGAATTACTTTTTTTCTTTAAATCCAAATAGTTTACAAATGTCTCTTTAATATTTATAAACTCTTTGAACCTGTAAAGCGTTATTCTGCTATAAATAACACAGGACCTGATTTACCATTGCTACATATACAATGTGGGAAACAAGGTGGACATACAACCAACCTATCTACACAAGCTGCACCCAAGTAAATCCTGCAGAGCTCAGGCCTTACAAGAAACACTCATCTGTGAAACTATAAAGGCTAGAGACAGAGAGAAAGAAAGTAAAGGAGAAAAAAACAGACTTCTTTCAGAACTTTTTCAAAGGAAATTTGCATAAAGCCATCATTAAAAAGTGCCTGCTAGAGACAAGAATGAAACCTAATATAAGCAGAAAGGAGAGAATGAAATGAAAGTAAAACAGATATGACGTAATAGATGGGAAACAAAAACCAACAATGAAAGAAGATGAGTATACAGTTACATAAGCGAGAATGAAAACACTATATATTTCTGCACCATCTCTATAACTGAACGTGTTCTGCACTATTACTCTGGATGAAATCTAGACAGTATCAAAATCAATGCGAATCAATTACAGGCTCCATTCACTTTGAATCAGACCTAAAAAGCAAAGATTCCTGAAGTCTGGAATGCATATCACTTCTAGTACAAAAAACTCTTTGAAGAAACATGTCACCTGCAATAAGGTAACTGCAGCCTAAAGGGAGGCACTGGCAGAGTTTGAATCACAGATTAAATGCCTTCATTCAATCAGGAACCAGCCAGCAGGCAATATATTATTGCTGGGTACAGCAAGGGATCTGAGCAGCCAGGCTCGCTCTGCTGTGCTCCATAGCACCTGCAGGAACTCAGCCAGTTCTGGCACAGCATGTTAGGTACAGCATGAAGTGATTAAAGACCCAGAGACTGCATAAGGTCTTGTAAAGTCAAGATGCATGAGGTTTGTAAAGTGAAGTGTGACTTACATGGGCATGGAGATATAACTGGGTCCTGGCTTTTGCAGCTTCAGAGAAGAGGGGAAGAGGAGAAAAAAATGGGGGAGTCCTAGTTCCTGGGAGTGTTAACAGGATGCTTCAAGGAACTTAAAAGTGTAGGAATGTGGAGATGATGGTGTGTGAAATCACCTTGCTGGCAGTCAGCTTGAGCTTCTGACTTTACCTGTAGCGGGTCTGCATGTATGAGCTTTTACCACTGCTGCCCATGGCACTCCAGGAAATTAAGCTCAGGAACTGTTGCTGTAAAGCTGTTCACCAAAAGGAGAAAGCGAATTATGAATATTAATTAAGCCATCTAAAATACTTGTGAATACTGTCATTGGATTTCCTCAGAGAAAGGGATACAAGATGAATGACCTGAGGTAAGTGAACATAATTTATCAACTTCTTTCATTTACGTAACATCAATTTTTAACACTTTCCAAACATCAGCTTTCAAACATAAACTAGGATTCCTAATATTTTAGGAATTTGGGACACCTAGATACCAAAGAAGTATGGAGCCTTAAATCCTGATTTAGTTCATATATTGAAGTAAAAACTAGAATTTTGGTTCTTACGATATATGTGTGCTGTGAGAAAAGGTTAAAGGCAAATTACTTTGAAACCAATTGAGATGGTATTTGGAACAATTAATTATACTCTTTTCTCGTCAGCCAAAAATAATTTTCAGAAGAAAACACTGTGAAACATAAATATTCCAAGAAAAACAGTCCTTTGGATAAATCTGTGTGCTTATGTTTTGAAATATCAATAACAATAATTTGGATTCTATGAAATGTTTGCAGTTTGATGGGTCAATATTTAGCAGTTGAATTCAACAGGCAATGCATTTTAAGCTTTTTTCTTTCTTGAATCTGAAGGCAGGAAATTCTTAAAAACCTCAGACCTTGTTTTTTGTTTCTCTTGCTCAGTCTTTTGTTTCTCTTGCTTTCCTAAAATAAACTCCCTTGCTTTCATTTAAAGTCCTGTTATAGGTGGAGGATTTTTTAGAAATCTTATAATATCATTGAGAAATGATTTCTGCCACTTGCTAGGAACTAGGAAGCGTTGTCCCTTTCCTAGAGTCAGTGAGCTTTGTTACCCCCTTCACACGATGACAGCAGTGCAGCTGCAAAAGAAGCCTCCAACTGAAGAAAACTCCAAAATGCTGTAGCACACCTCAGCAAGACAAGCAGCTGCAGGCACAATGGATTTGAGTCACAGAATCGGAGGAGTCTAGCCTGGGAAGGGAAAGCAAGGCCTGAGATTAGGTTATCAAGGGCCCTGTCAAGCTGAGTCTTTGGCATGAGGGAGCTTCCACCGCTTCTTTGGCAACTGACTCCAATGTTTAATTGCTCTCATATTGAAGATTTTTTTTTCTTATATCCAGACAAAATTTCCCCTGAAGCAACTTGTGCCCCTTACCCCTTGCCATGTCACTGTGCATCCTTGTGAAGAGAGTACCTCCATCTTCCCTGTAACTACCTTATAGGAACTGAAAAACTGGGATTAGATTCCCCCTAAGCCTCCTTTTCCTCTAGGCTGAGTAAACCCAATTCCTTCAACCATATTGGCATGGAGAGGTTTGGTTTAGGGGGAAAGTTAAGAAAATGGGTTTTTACTGAACAATGGTTATAAGGTGCCAATGACCCTGTCCTTTTGTAACCCTGGGATAGCCTGCAGAAATCCCCCACTGCCACAATCTAAGATCATTAGTGGATGGCGAACACGTAACCTAGCAGCCCTTACCCATCAGTCACGTAGAGTATTCCAGAAGGAAGGTGAGTCTGCATGGGGTCTGCAAACAGGTCCGCAATATAATTAGGGATTGAAACCGGACCACTAAGAGCGGGGGTCTAGACAACTTCAACCACTCGCTTCCCTGCAGTCCCAAAGTGGGCTAGGATAAAAGGGGCACACGCGAGCCCAGCAGTGGTGGTAGTGAGAAAAAGCTGAATTCACTGAAGAAGTGCCGCTGCCGAGAGCTGAAATCACTGAAGCGGCGGGGAAGCAGCAGCCTCGGCGGCCTTGTCCAAGGCTCCCCC